GGCCTCGGCGGTGCGGCCCGGCGGCGCTAGGCGTGGCCTCGCCCCGGGCGCGGTCTGCCGGCGGGTCGCGGCCCTCCGCGGTGTGCTCGGCACGCTCCTGTCGCTAGCACGCTGACACCGCGCGTCTCAGCGATGCTGAAGTTCTTGGAGTCGATCTTTTGATAAACTAAAAAAGCCCCATAACTTGTTTTTCTTCGTTTCCCCTCATGGTGATGGAGACGAATTTAGAAATGGATTTTAATTTTGTTCCCGTTTTTCTAAGCTTCAAAGTAAGTAGAGTTGATGATAGAAAAGACAAAGGAGCGTTATTCAAGTGGGTAGGGAGAGAAGTCGCGCTGGGTGGCTAACGTAAAACCGAACGCTTTCATGCTCGTGGTCCAGAACCGCGACAGGTCATGAGAATCCCCAGCTCCGAAATGCGCGTTAGGAGCTCAGGTGTGCAAAGCGAGTGGCGTGTAGATGGGGGAGACGAGGGCGTCCGCGTTAGGAATCCTTCAGCGCGGGGGTGACGTCCGGGTGGAACCGCTGCCTGTTGAAGTCGGCCGGAAGCCCCGGTGGGCAGGCTGAAGACCGTGGGATGGATGCGGAGATGGCCCAGGTTCAGGAGCGTCCCTTTGCTACCGGAAGCTTAACTAGTCCATAGCCTTGCTCAGTGGGCTGCCCCTTAGCGAGAGCTAGACTTAATTTTTTAAATGTCTGGTGGTTTTTGAGTAAAGGGGAGTTTATTATTTAGAAGGATATTCTTTCTCTCTTTGTCTCCCTTTTTGGTAGTACTGAGACTGATGATTGAATCCAGGGCCTGCACATGCTAGCCCCGCACCCTACCGCTGAGCTTGTCCTCTCACCCTCTGGCCCTTTTAACTTTTGAGAAAAGGTCTCCAGCTTGCCAGGCTGGCCTTGAACTTGTCATCCTCCTGCTTCAGCCTTCCCAGCCCCAGGGGTTACAGGCATGTTTCATGGTGCACAGCTAAGAGTAACCATTTTTAAAGCAAGTAAATCGCATCTAACCTTATCTGTTGCTAAATCTTTTGAGGGGATATGTTTTCATAGGTAGTGGTCTACAAACGAGCACAACTTGTAATAAACAACAGCCTTTCTATTGCAATCCTGTAGTGATTTAATCTGGCTCATAATATGCTGAAAGTGTGAGTTAAGGCCATTGTTGATTTCAGCTCTTGCAAGGTTAGGGTCAGAGAGGTGGACCTGATTACGTGATCTCTAGGTGCAGGCTTCTTACTATGTGTATGTTCAGGACTTTGTAAATGAAAGATCATAACTATGTCAGGAACACTGCGTGCTCATTCCTCTGTTCCCAGTTAAGGGTTTTAGAACTCCAAGGGCAAGACAGTGCAACATCTTCAGGGACCACTGGGAGCACAGCCTGGACTTGAAAGCAGGTTGGTGGAGCATAGCCGTGAGCTTCCAGACTGCCTGCACTGGGGCTGTTGCCGTGGAGAGGACACTTTCAGCCTGTGCCCTCTGGTGGTTTGCATGGTTTTAGTACAGTGCTGTGAGCACCGGGGCTGTGGCACCACAGTGCGTGGAGACTCCAGCCAGGTGACCTTGTAGTCTTCCAGTGTTTCTTTGGGTAGACTTGGGCCTCCTGTAACTTCTCTGTGCCTGCATGTCGTCATTTGTAACTAGGCTTCATGTTACTTGTTTTACAGTTGTGTGCAACTCTTTGTGAATGCATATGTGTGAGACTCAGTATGATAACTGGTGTGTAGTGATGATTGCTATGCTGGGTAAGGAGCAAAGGTGACAAAAAGAACAGGAGGTACTGGGCCAAGTGATAGCTCAGCAGCATAAGCCTCTGCCTGGCAAGCATAAAGTCCTGAGTTCGATCCCTGGTACAAAAAAAAAAAAAGAACAGGAGGTACTGACGCTGAGCTTTGCACCACATCACTGATCTACTTGAAAATGTTGCTGATGCTTGGCATTTAGCCCCTTTTGACTGTTCCCTATTCACTTAGTGTAGGATAAAACCCCAACGGAAGGTGCACCATTTGTTAGAGTAGCTGCTGATGTTTTTCAGTTGCTAAGGTTTTTACAGGTAATACTTTTACCAAGAATATTCAAGGGCAGAGGATCTTTGAACATACTGCCAGCTGAAGGACCTCTTGTCATCTTTTGTGAAGGGTGAACAAATGAGGCAATCTAGTCATGGTGCCTGCATCCAGGCAGGATGTTTACTAAGGGCTTTTGTCACATCCTGAAGGGGGCACAGATGAGGTTGTGGAGAGATGGAGAGGAGGCTGTGCCTAGGTGGGTAGTTTAGGAACAGGAGTTTTCTCTGCACACCTCCTCTTCCCACTCTGCCAGGCTTGGTCTGAGCTGGCCCTGGAGTTGGGAAGAGGTTATGTTCTGCTCAGCTCTGCAACCTGTTGCCTTTCTTTCTTTCTTTCTTTCTTTCTTTCTTTCTTTTTTTTTTTTTTTGGCTCCTGAAACCCCTTCCAGTGTGTTCCTCTTTATTCATTTTCAGAGTACAAACTTAAACTTGGATAAGCTGAATTAACCCAACCCACCTCTGGCAGGTACACTCAACATGCTGTATAAAGTATAACATTCAATTTATTATTTCTTTCTCAAGAGTTTTCTTCAGTCCATT